TCCCTATCCCACAGAGACATCCAGTCTCTGTCCCATGGAGGAACCCAGTCCTTGTCCCCACAAGGGTTCCAGCCCCCATTCCACAGAGGGATCTAGCCCTGTTCTCAAGAGGGACAGTGGAGTCGCCAAAGCAATTCATGTGCACTAAATCAGGGAGCAGCGTGTGAAATGTACGCACCTGGTCTTGGCAGACCGGTGACAGGACAAGGGGGAATGGCCTCACCCTGGCAGAGGACAGGTTCAGATTAGATATTAYAAAGAAATTCTTCCCTGTGAGGGTGGTGAGGCCCTGCAATAGGCTGCACAGAGAGGATGCCTCCTCCCTYRTTTTCAAGKATAGGTTGGATGGGGCTTGGAGCAATCTGGTCTGGTGGAAGGTGTSGTTATGGCAAGGTGSTGGCACCTTTAAGGTCCCTTCCAATCCAAAGCATCCTGGGATTCTGTTACCAATGGTATTGTCCCCTCTTATCCCTCTTGGATGAAGCTCAAGGAAGGGAAATGGCAGCATGACAGAATGCTACTGAAATCATCAGGATTCCTCTTCAATCCACTGGAACTGCATGGAAGGAAGATTGGATTTTCACCCAATGTCTAAAAGGAGCCTTCAGCCCAGCAGAATATTAGAGCATTTTTAGTTACTGATGTAATGTCAAGGAAGGTTTGTAGTCACATGCAACAGGAAGTTAAGTTATATTGTGAGAGAGGTAGAGAGATGCAGGGGCAGCTCAGACAGGAGTGTGACACCAGCACACTGTCTGCGTGCTCTGGCAAGTTTTCTTTTTTTTAACACAAAGATGAAAGAAAACCTGATTTTAAGTGCGGAGAAACTCCCTGTAGGTTTCTCATGCTTTCTCTTAAGTAATGTTTTTTGTCTGCTTGACACACTTAGCTTGTGGTAGGATCCTCCAGTTGGGTCTTTGTGCTTTGTGGGGAGAGGCACTATTCACCATCAAGCTTTCAGCTCAGGTAAAGATTTAACATACTAGGTAAATTAAACAAATAATCAAAGAAGAGATACTGGATATTACTAGACAAATAGGAGGTAACATAAAAGTAGCCTGGAAAAGAAAAGACAGAAGATAGTTGGTGTTTCAGTGTAAATGTCATCTACCAAAATAGTCACATCGCCTCTTATACAATTTAAATATTGACAAAAGAAGATTATGCTGATTGCTTTCCAGCTCAAACCTCCCATGGTTTGCTTTCACTGCTCACCCAGCTTTAGGAAAAATGAATTCTGAGCCTCCTGGTCTSATRAGCCACAGTCTGCACACAACAAATRTATCAAACACACCTTCAGTGAWTGAATTTTGAAGAGTAACTTTTTTTGACACGTGACTTCAGCAGTGTTGAGACCCTTACTGGCTGTTTTTAGTCTGTATCTGTGTCGGGAATTGACACCAGACACCAGATATATAGACCCAGAATAGAATAGGAGGAAGTTTAACAGCCCCAGCCCTGAATCTCCTCTTCTTTCCTTGGGTTCAAACCCAGACAGATCCTACTTAATGAAACTTAAATGACCTCTGTATCTGTGTCCTGTCCCACATCTGCATGRCACATTTCCATGGAGCAGGACCTGCCTGTCCTGGGATGCCTCATGTTTGTTTGCATTTTCTCTGCCTCTTAGCTGAGACAAGGAAGTAATCACTTGTGTCTCCTCGATGTTGTTCTGTGCCAAACTCCCTCACAGCACACTTACAAAGTCTTCTCCTTATTAAACTGACTCCTTCCTCTCATTTATCTCATTACACTAACCATCCTGTCACCAACTTACTTAATACAGAAAGAATATGCACTTTAATTTGTCAGGTATAGAAGCATAAAGAAGGAATAATCCACACACCTCATGGAGTCAATAAATGGTTGGCCATAAAGCCTTTCTGCTCCACCCAGTTAATCACCCAAGAAGAATTTCTATAATGTCAACATCTCTATTCTCTGCAGAATCATAGCCCTGTTCCAATTTTATTTCACAAGGGTCTTACCTTGGACACCAATGGAATTGCCAGTTCCCTTGTTTAACCGGTAACTGAGACACAGAGAAGCAGATCACTGACATATTTTATCACATTGACTTGATCTAGGGATTTCCCAAGTCTAGGATTGTTGAAGGCAGAAGAAATATCTAATAGTATCTTTATTTAAAACCAAATTCAATCTCAAATTGACCCTCCAGCAAGTTGTTTRTAATCCTATAACACGTACCTCTACCTCTCAGCCTGTAGTGCCCTGAGATAAGGAAMTTCTAGGTAGACTGTAATTTAGGTAACGCATAAAATGTGACCTGGATGATGTCAGCCACGGAGCTCCTGGCATGGCCTCCATGGAGGGAGGGTTGTGGGTCAGATAGAGAGGCTCACATGTGGGTCTTTTCTYTGGCATCATCGTTCTTCTTCGTTAAGCAGCTCAGGATGGCTCTGATCCTGCGCTGTGTGAAGGAAATCGTGGTTGGCATAGAACCCTGTGTGCCATGGAGTGAACCCATGGGGCTCTGCACATCTCTAAACACTTGGAGCAGTGGTGGGATGAAGGGCAGAAAACGCTTCCAGCACCACACTCACTTCCAGGTGAGCCTCAGGTTCTAAATATCTGAGGTGTCTTGGGGGGAAAGAGCTTGAGCCTTACACCAAGTGCTGACAGGAGTCTTTGCTTTGAAGATTTTCCCTTCCCCTGACTGTGAACTGAATCAKGGGAGAAGGTCCACAGTGGGGAATCTCTGCTCTGACAACAGGGAGGTGGGAACATGGAGAGATGGGGCTGGGGGCTGCCACAGAAAGTGACGCTGGTGACTTGGTGSTGAGCCCAGAGAGGCAGCAGAGCCCCACATCTGCGTGCCCAGGCAGTATTTGGGTGGGGGGAGTGAACAACCACAGGATGGAGYGGGGGTTTGTGGAGGGGAAGAGCAGGAGCATGGTGTTGGAGAGCCTCTTATCTGTTTCCTCGTGGCCCTGGCTGCTTCCTTCCATCTCTGCATCAGGACYTTCCCATGCCCAGCAGCCCTCAACAGCCCTTCCAGACCCCGCTCTGGGAGGGTTTGTTTGTTCCTCCTTTCTACCTGCTCTGAGAAACCCACCATAATTCAAGCCCTTTCTAATTTTCTCCCCCACCCTCCTCTGTCCCCTTTCCCCATCAAACTCAGAACCAAACCTTCCTTTYAGGAGCACTAACTGGGCTATAAAAAGTGGGTGCAGACCTGTCCCTGTCACCTCAGCATTGCCATGGCTCTCCACTAAGGAGCACCTAACTGCTGTCACAGTTTGCTGACAGAGGTCATTTACGGGCAGGCAGTGACTGTCCCTCCCACRGGCTCTCCAGACTGCCAGGGGTTAATGCAGAGTGGATTTTTCAGGAGCAGGGATGAGTATCAGCCCTAAAGGCTGCAAGAGCTGACAAACAAAACTAGCTGCTTCTGGGCCAGGAGCCGGGAGGGTGCTGGGATTGCTGCGAGCTGTTTCCATTTCTTATAAATGCCTGTTTTACAGAAAGGAAGTTTGGTTGAAGCACATGCAGGAGAATGAATGTCAGAAATGTTGAAACTCTGCCCAGCTGGCATGATGTAATCCCAGCAAGTGCTCTGATCTGCAGGCTACAATAAATATATCCTGGGATGGGCCGTTTACAGTTTCCTGGAATTGGAAAGTCCTATCTCAAGACTCAAAATCATTCCAGTTCTCCCCAGTGATGGCACAGCAAATTTTTTAACTAAATCAAGAAGAGATTCTGTGCCTGTTTTGGTGGGAATAAAGGAAATTTCTGCAAAGTTCACTTGTGGTSTTAGACTTTCCCTGCTCCTTGCTTTCCTCTCCACCTTGCAGGAGGACACAGAATAATTTGCTGAGGGAAGTCCTGTGAGCTGCAGGCAGCTGGCAGCTCTGACAGGTTTGCTAAYGAAGGCACAGACCTGCAGMAGCCTGAAAAAGGCCAAAGAGACTYGRGCCTSTCCTGRTGCACATGGGTTTCCCCAGGGCACAGTGGGGCAGCTGTGGGACAGTCACGGGGCGTGTCCTGGGGTCCCAGCCAGTAACCACCCAGGTCAAACGGGGAGTCTGTGCATTTTAAACTGCTGCAGTGCTGTCAGTGAAGCTGGGGCTGACAGCAGTAGAAAAAAAGGTCAGTTGTGTCTTCAAGTTTTTTATTTGCTCTCAGAGTATCCATCTGAGGTGGGAATGGACCTCCTGCCCAAGGAGCCATCTGCAGAGCAGGAGTTAATCCAAAGGCATGAGCCGCACATGGTGGGCAAGGCTGGCTGTGCCTCTCGTCTGGCTCCCGGCTCAGAAAGTTGGCTCCATCCTGGATGGA